ATTAACACCCAACACTCCACCGATATTACAAGAAACACATTTCTTCCAAAACTTTGTCCCTCAAAAGCTGGACATTTTTTCTTCATTAAAGGTATTTCAGTTCGTATTCTTGTGAGCCAATGAATGCGAACGGCTCCGGTGCTTACGGGACATTATGAAATATGGGATTAATGGAAATAAACAGGGAAAAGACATCAGTCATCTCATTTCGTATATTTACATCTAACAATTAACGTTTCTTCCATGTAAACTTCCTTCTTGCACCTGCCTGGCCTGGCTTCTTCCGTTCCCTCACTCGGATGTCGAATGTTAGTAATCCAGCTAAAATAACAACAGTAAACATGCTTGTTTAGTGCGAACGAATAACACGAAATATTTATGAGACACTTAAGTAATACTTTAAAATGCCTATTTTATATATGGCACTTTTGTGTTGATGCCGGCCTGTGTCAATGAGTTATAACACCTCGCCTCTTACGCTGTGACACCTTGAACGTTGAATAACACTACATTTAATTTTGATTTATTTTCCTGACTGCGTGTAATTGTTATGATACAGGGTGTCCCGTAAGCTCATGATCAGAAGAGTGCTGCGATATTCTTTGGATCAAAAGAAGACGATCTGACCTAACTTTTATTAGCAAAAAATGTCTGGCTCCTCTGCTATTGATGGTCAGTTCTTCAAAAAATTTATCTTTTGTGAAATATCGGGAGAATGGTACGACGTATTTTGGTGAATTCGCTGTGAATTTGCTTTTATGTAAGACTCAGATTTTGATGAAACAATTGAGTTCAGCCGTTTTGGACAAGTGGAGAATTCTTGAGGGTCGTGGTACAAAAACTACTAGAACTTTTTATTTGGTGGATGAAATCAACTCATTTTTTTTTTGGTTGATGCACTAATAATTTGTTCACAATTTTATGCTGTTTGTAAATTTTTGTAGCGTTTATAGTTTTTTGATTTTATGATGAAAAACTTTTTGACGATATTGGAAATTCGTTTCAAATACTGCTAGCTTTGAACCATTCTGTATATTTCAGAGGAAGGGTAGTAGTCTGGATTCGTCGCACGGATTAACTCTAACTGTTGTACATTCGATAACGGTTTGAATTATTTAAAATAGTTAATACAAACCTAATCTCATGCTTTCCATGGTTTCCTGGTCTACAAAACTTCTCAGTGCCCAAGATATGCCATATCTTATAGCTCCGGCCTGCCCCGATGGTCCCCCATTTTGCATTTCCGCCTCTATGTCAACTTTGTTCTGCATATTCGAAAATATCAATGGAAATAGAATCTAGAAATCAAAATGTGCAATTAACCGCTGGCAAATATTTATGAATAAAACTTTGTGGCATTTGCAATTCAGGCCGCTTAAAACTAAATTAATTAGTCAATTAATTAATTCATTAGTAAGTAGCTAAGTAATTCGTAAACTACTCACCAAAAAATCGTTGTAAAGGTAGCTGAAACAAAGTCAAAGATAGTTAGATATTTCGATGGGAATAAAAAACAAGAACATCTCGACAATTCAACTGAAAATCATTGGCTACAAATCACTTAATTCCCCATAAACACACCAAAACAATCTGTTCACTTAATTTTATTAAAGAAATATATTAATTTTACAATAAAATGTATGTAGAGTAGTTAGTTCCTACGATTAGGTAAAACGAGTTAACATTCACAACCGCTAAATCACTAATATCACATATTAAATGGCATGATTTAATGTTAGTATGAACCG